GAGGGCGGCGGGGAATGAATGGCCTCATCTCTCTCGCCTGCACGCGGGGGTGGGCGGGCGGAGACCCCCGCTGGGCCATGGGGTTTGCCCCGACCGCGATGACCTGTTCGGCTGCCGTGTCCCGTTGGGCTGCGGGGCCGCCCGCCTGGAGCAGGAGGCTCCTGGGTGATCCGTCAGCTGCGTGACACCTGCCCCCTGGACACCCCATAAAGGACCCGTGCGTGGCGTGGCGGAGCCATGGGCGCCATCGATAACAAGGCCACGCAGAAAAAGCGGCAGCCGTAAGAACCCAGACTTTCTCTGCGGGCCCCTTCGCCTGCCCCCGGAGCAGCAGAACAGTTTCACGGGTATCAGCGGCTTCCTGATTGATGCCAGTGCAGCTGAGTCGAGTTTGGCCCTGGGCTCCTGTGTGGATTAGTGAAGCACGAGCAGCACCCTAGCAATGAGGCCAGCATGGCACCGGCTCGGTTATTGCATTAGTGAGGACACTTACCTTGGCCGGTAGGAGTGCGTGTGCAGCCCCCAGCTCTCAGCGCGGTGGAGGGAGCGCGCTGGTGCTTCTCTTGCCTGGGTGCCAGCAGGAGCGACTGATGCTAATCACCTTATTCATATTTTGTGGACAACTTCCCTTTTTATTTCCCAGTAACAGCTGGCAGCAGCACGCCAGGCAGAGTGGAGCTGGAGCTAAACAAGAACATGCATCCACATAGGTCTGGCCCAAATACCCCTCAAATTTCATGCTGATGCACCTGGCCAGCTTTTGGCAATTGGTTCCCATTGTCATAGACAGCCCCTGTCTTTATTCTGGCAAGGAAGGAAAAGCCCTTGGAGCTGCACAAGCTGGAGAGGAAAGGGGAAATCTCAGCAGCCCTGAACCTTCAGCTTCATGGGCCCTTGGTTGCACCTATTTTGCAGATGGACAAACTGATGTTGTGTCCAAAATAAGCCAGCGCTCCCCACACATGGTGCAGGAAGTGCTGGCTTATTTTGGACGCAACATCAGTTTGTCCATCTGCAAAATAGGTACAAGCAGGCATCTTGAAAACTGGTCGGTGTATCGAAAGCACTGACATGGCTGCCTGGCAGCTCATTGCAGGGAGGCATGAGTGCAAAGTCAGCCTAGCTTCAGCCAGGCAGGTCGCGCTGGCACTTTGGCTTCCAGCTCGTATTGTGAATGTTTCTCTTGGAAAGAGCCCAGCAGCCTCCAGCATGGCCCTGAGCTGAGAACACACATGATCCCATCCTGTGAGCTGTAGGCCCCCGTCCAGCACCCGCCCTGACGGGAGTGCCGGGCACACTTGCTCTGGGGGGAAGTCACTGCTTGCGTGAGCTCATTGTTTATTTTATCCTCCATTCCCAGAGTCTGGGAACCTGGTTGCACCGAGGGTTAATTCTCCCAGGGTGGTGGCAGGAGGAGAAATGGCTGATTTTTGCCCAGTTAAGGTTCATCTTGACAATTGCTGTTCCTAGAGGCCTGTGCAGATGCCTCAGGTCTGCAGCCACTCAGCTATGCTGGGAACAAGACTGACAGATATTTGCTCACACTTGATTCTCATGCAGTGCCCATCACCATGACATCTCTGCCTTCCTGCCCCCTTCGTTCTCCCCAGCCTCAAAAAGTACTCTGCAGAACCAGGAGAGATGCTCCCCAACCCTGGTGAAGGGGGAGAGTTAGGAGGGGACTAGGGAAGGGGAAGGGCTGGATGTCAGGGTTGGGTTTGATGGAGGTGGGGAAACACCAAAGTCCTTCATCTGAGGTGCCAGGTCACTGCTGACTAGCCAGGACAGAGCCCAGTCCAAGCCCTGTGAAGTGGCAGCCCCCCACCATGGGGCCCTGAGTGTATGGGGGGATGTGACGGAGAGGAGGTCTGAATGGATCTCAGAGCCAGGTGCTCCTAAGTTCTTTCCCTTGCTCTGACACTGATAACTTTAGTGCCCTTGGGCACATCTCTGCTTCCCTGTTTCCCCACGTATGAATATGTCCCAGGTACTCCAGTGCCCTTGGACCCAGCAAAGAAAAACAAACAAGATCCAAAGGCTGGGAGATGAGCTGCAGACCTCCCAGTGAAGAGGAAAATGACCTGCTGTGTGCAGCAGGGGCTTCTCCAGTGCTCAGGGTCATCCCATGGGCCTGCCCACCTGTTGGGAAGCGCGCTGCCCTCACTAGCCCTGGCTGCTGGGCTCAGGGCAGGGTAGCAGGGGGAGTTAGGGTGAGGTGGACTGTATGGCCCCCTCTAGCCTCAGGTGAGCTGTGCCTGGTGCTGCAGAGCACCTGAGTGCTCCGCTGGCAGGAGCCAGGAGCTGTTCTCCATAGCAGGAGGTACTTCAGGACGGGTCCCTAGCAACGGGCAAGCCTCCCTCTCTTGGCCTTGCGCGCTCGCCTCCGCAGCCCACGCTTCTCTGGCGCAACACTTTGATGGGAGCCAAAGCACCGCTGTCCCCTGTAGCTGCCTTTCATCCTGCCAGCTGCACCCCCCCACAGACTGTGTGCGCAGAGCCAGGGGCTCGTGCTCCTCCCCCAGCTCTCATGTATTCCTCGCTGCATCCTGGCTGTTGCCTTGCCGAGATGAAAATGAGTGCGCTCTCAGCATGGGGTCACGAGCAGAACAAGGGAACAAGCAGACGTGGCCAGCAGCACCAGCTCTGTGGGGAGCAAGGGAGGCCACGTTGTCTATCCCGCCCCCCCCCAGCCCTCTCTCGGAGCTGGGGGGCTGCAGGAAACCCTATGACCAGAGCCCCAAGACATCACCCTTGTCCTTTGCTGCGGCTACCAGACACCCACTGCCACATGAGCAGTGAGTCGTAGTGCCAGGATGCTGCACTCAGGCAGAGGATCTGGAGGGTTGGAGCAAGGCAGTCGGGACACCTGGGTTCTCTTCCCTGCTGTCTTGCTGGAACTTGGGTAAGAAAGTTGGAGCAGTTCCCTCCTCTGAGGCCGGCTGCACAGGAGGGAGGCTGACCAGAGGCTCTGTGAGCTCCTGTTTGCAAAGTGCTTTCTAGATCCCTGTGCTGGGGAGCACCAATAAGACAGGCCTGGATTCTGCCCCATGTCCTCCTGCTGAGGAGGGCTCTCCTCCACCCATCTCCCCAGTAGAGGGGCAGAGGTGAGAGCTCTTAGCAAGAGTCTGGCAGAACCTGACCTGTGCCAGCCTGCTGCAGTTGTGCCCATGTGCTGGGGACTCCTGGGTGCCAGGATGGGCCAACAGGAGGGGGTGTGCTCTCATGTCTGTGCTGCCACGCCATCCTGCCTCCCGCTAGTGAATACAGGCTTGCCTCTACTGGGCTGTCTTCTCCCTCCCAGGCCCAGATCCCAGCCTGGCAGATCCTCTCCCTTCAGCCTCTCACTCCGCCCAGCCCAGTCTGACTTAGTCCTACTGTCTTGCAGAGCATGCTCACCGGCTTGATGTACTCCCGCCCCGAGGACCCCATCAGCTATCTGGAGTGCTGCTTACAGAAAGTCCGGGAGCTGGGTGGCCCCGAGAAGGTGCAGTGGGACACTTTCCTGGGTCCGGAGCAGCACTGCTTCCCCTCACTCAATGGTGGGCAGGGGAAGAAGCCCTTCTTCCAGCCAGGTAGGCAGAACTTCACACAGGCATTGGTTTGGAGTGGGACAGGGCTGCTGAGCTCTGTTAGTGCCGTAGCGCACACGGTAAATGAGCCAGGCACTTGGCTCCGAGGGTGCTGATGGGGCTGATCCAGCCTTGAGCAGGGCTTGGACTAGATGTGACCTCCTGCACCTCTTCCAGCCCTGCTTCTCCATGATTCTTGCTTGTGTGGAAATGGGAGTGAGTGGCAGCTCCTGGCTGGGGGAGTCCTGACCCCTGCCATTGCAAGCATGTGTCAAACAGTCCTCTTTGTCAACTGGCCACGCTCAGATAGTTAGTGCCCATCTGAGCAGGAGTGGGAGCCCAGGTCTCCCCGCAAGACTGCAGGGCCACACTCTGCATACGTGTTGGCACACACCTGTGTCAGCTGCAGACACACCCCTTTTGCCCACTGCATGCTCTGCGCTCATGGCTCCTGCACATGTGCACACCTGTCTTGGCCCATGCCCCTCTGCTCCATGCCTGTGCATGCACGGGAACCCCCAGTGTCATATGCACCCCCCAAGCTGTTCATGGTCCCACTTGAAGCTGACATTCTGCCCCTGCTTCCCTCTGCAGACCCTGGTGTGGGGCCATACCACTGGTGTCTGCAGGCGCCTGCCTGTGGGTGCCTGCCGTCCATCCAGAGCCAGTTCTCCATCGAGAGCGACTCCGACATGACAGAGTCCACTGGGCTGATCCAGGAGTACGACGTGTTTGACCCCAGCAGACCCCGCCCCAAAATCATCTTTGTTATTGGTGAGAACCCCCCAACCCGCAACCCCCACCCCTGCCGCCCAGTGCTGGGCCATGCAGCCAGGATCATTCCTGGGGGGAGGACGAAGGGTAGGAGGCAGACACTGGAGTCTGACATCCTGTGTAGTCCTTTAGCCTTTATAGTGGGATTCGCTGGTAGGCAGCCCCAGGCTAGGGTGGGGCACAGCTTGCTTCTCTCTTATCTGCAAAATAGTCATAATTCTGCCTTGCTTCACTGGGGACTGGAAAGACTTAATGCATGAATATGCAGTGAGCACTTTGAGAGACCTGCTCAGGCCTTCCCCTGAGAGCAGCTGCCCCATTCCCCCATCCCTTCACCAGTCCCAAGGAGCTGAGAGGGGGCTGGGTGGCTCAGTGATGGACATTGTGGCAATAGGAGGCATTTAGAGGACATGGCCTCCTGTCTCTTTAATGCCTATGGCCAGACCCCCTGCTGCCCCCCTGGTGTCACTCCATTGACTTCCTCCTGATTTACACCAACCTGAATGTCCCCTGGGGAAAGCTCTGCAGAAGCTGACAGGGCAGGTGAGGATGGGGCAAAGGGCCTGGGGCCACTCAGGTGTTCACACCTCCTGTGCTTGGCAGGTGGCCCTGGCAGTGGGAAGGGCACACAGAGCGCCAAGATCGCTGCCCACTTCGGGCTCATCTGCATCTCCGTAGGCGAGATCCTGCGCAGTCAGATGCTCCACCATGCCACCAGTGACCGGAAGTGGGAGCTCATCGCCCAGATCATTGCCAACGGGGAGCTGGCCCCACCTGTGAGTCATGAGCACTGGGCTCCTTCAGGGGCACCTTGCACTACCCTCTGGGCAGCTGGCTGCTGTTTCTGCAGCTGTTCCGCACCTTCTGCCCTTGCAGCCCTGCTGTTCCCTCAGCTTTGTCAGGACAACCTGAGGCTTGAGGAGGGCCTAACAAAATTGTTTCCACCCCCTGGACAGAGATTATGTCAGCATCTTCTGCCAGTGATGCCTTGTGGGCATTTCCATGTCCTGCCAGCCCTAGGCTGGTGAGAGCCCTCTCTGGTGATGCCCACAGGATAAAAGGTGATGAGAATGAGTTTGCCTCTTGGCCAGTGTCTCTGCCAGGGGCTGCCTCTGGACCGAGTGGAAGATGACAGGTGCAGAGATTTTAATGCTCTCATCTCTGTTCCATCAGGAACAGGGCTGGGACCCATCACCTTCAGACTCCCCACCCCACAACCACCAGGCAGGCCGGATGTGTATGTCCCGAATGACCCCCCAGGACAAGTGGTGAGAGGTTCAGTCCCTGCCGTCATGACCAGCCCCCTGAGCAGTCTCTTTGCCTTGCAGGAAACCACCATTGAGGAGCTGAAGCAGCAGTTCCTCAAGCAGCAGGATGCCAGAGGCTTTGTGGTGGATGGTTTCCCCCGGGAGATAGGGCAGGCCTTCACGTTCGAGGAGCAGGTGGGGCAAGGCTGACAGTGGGCAGAGACACTTTGCAAGGCTTCATTTCATGTTCTTTGCTGCACTTTCCCCAAATCCTCCCCTAGCACCTGGCACTGTGCCCCCCCGCCAGTCCCCTCCAACAGTGTGCACCCTCCCCTGGCACTGTGCCCCCAGGCTGCCACCCTTGCCCCTCTTCTCCAGGGACATGTGCCCCCTCACTGTGTTTCCACAGTGACTAGGGATCACAAGAGCACCCTGTCCCCTGTCCACCCAGAGGAGATCAGGATTGGATCCCTACATTCCTGGTAATCTGGGGAATGCCTGGATTCCTCCATCCTAGGGCCACAGTGGTCCAGGCCTTGCCCAAAGCCTCTTCAGGACCCTCTGTGGGATGGTGAGACTCCCTGGGGACCTGTTTGTGGAGTGGGGCCATGTTGATCTAGCAGGGCTGGGAGCCAGGAGAAGCTCTTGCAGGCTGCAGCCTGGATACTTTCAGCACAGTTCCATCAGGAACAGCGCTGGGACCCCCACTGTCCCTCCCAGCAGATCCCCCCTACCCCATGACCAACTGACAGGTAGGACATGTGGGTCCCAGCTGACTCTCCAGGACAGGTAGTGAGAGGTTCAGTCCCTGCCCTCAGGGACCCTGAACTCATCAGAGCCTGTCTCAGGCCTGTCTAAGCTGCTGGGGTCCCCATGGGGAAGAGAGCTCTGCCCCCCTCATAGCCAGGACCATCTGTCTGACTTCAGATTGGCTCCCCGGACCTGGTGGTGTTCTTGGCATGCTCAAGCCAGCGTTTCCGGCAGCGCCTGGAGAAGCGAGCATTGGAGCAGGGCCGGCTGGATGATAATCCCCATGCCATCGAGCGGAGGGTGGACACCTTCAAGCAGAATGTCCCACTGATTGTGAAATACTACCAGGAGAAGGGAGTCGTCATCCGGGTAAGGCTCTGTGGGGGATGCTGGAGCCGTGCCCCAGTCCCAGCCACCAGGCTGCGTGGCTCCCCCCTACCAGCACGGCACAGATCCAAGACTCGGTGCTGGCTCCCAGCTTGATGCAGGGCCTGGTCCTTTGTCACTCTCCAAAGCATGGGGCAGGCTCAGAGGTTGCATGGAGCAGGCACTGACCTACGTGATGGCCCTGGGGATGCAGGAGGGAGGTCTGGGAGCATGTCTGGAGTGGGAGAGTTGTTGTCCTGGCAGGCAAAGCCCTGGGAGAGGGCTTGCTTTGGAGGGAGGCTGAACTCCAGCATGGGGTGGGATTTCTTCTTTCCCGTCCTGCTTCACCCCCTTCCCTCACCACAGATCCAGACTGACCATGGCCTCTGCCTTTCTGCTTTCAGTTCGATGCAGACAGAGAGGAAGATGATATATTTGCTGACATCAGCTCCGTGGTCCAGGCACAGCTTTACCCAGATGGCATGGACAAGGCAGGTGAGGGGGGCTGTTAGACACTGCCAGGGAGAGCAGAGCTGGCTGGGGGTGAGCCAGAGCCCTGGCCTTACACCCAGACCAGACCTTCTGGCCTCTCTGCACTGGGCTAACCCCCTGGGCCAGCTTTAGGAAACATGGCTATTTGGGAGGTCCCAGCCCCCTCCTGCCCAACCACTGGAGCAGGACACAGACAGAGGCAGCCTATGTGCTCAGCTAGCTCCTAGGGGAATGTGGACACACAAGTGTGGAGGGTGGGTCAGGGTCTTGTAAAGTTACTTTAGTCATGGGTCTGGTAAGCATCTGCTCAGCTAAAAGTCTCCAAGCCTCTCCCATTGCCCTCCTTTCCCCAGCCCAGAGGTGCCCGGAGCATTGAGGCCTGGGTTTGCCCAGGGCCCTTGGGGCACTCAGTGTGCCCTCCGGTGAGTGTGCGTCTCTCTCTGGCTCAGGGTCTCTGCCACGGGCTGAGCTAGACTCACCCTACAGTGCCTCTGCAGAAGGCCAGCAGGAGGAGGAGGAGGGCGAGGAAGGGCAGGTAAGGGCCCAGCGATGCTCTCTGGCCCCCTGGGGGAAATGCCATCGTGCTTTCCAGGACCTGGGCTGGAAACCAGCCAAGCTTCCTCCTGCAGGATCAAAAACAGGAACCGGGGAAGCTCCTGGGGGATGTGGAAAAACACAGTGGATCCGTGCGCCAGAGGGGTCAGTGGCTGGGGGCTGAGGGCAGGCACGGCCACTGTGTCAGCCAGACAGCAGAGAAAGCTTGGAGCAGGATGCAAGGGGAGGGGGCAGCTCTGATGATTAATTTCCAGAGGGCTGGAAAATGGGGTGGGAGAGAGTGGAGAGCCATGGCAGGGAGGGATCCCAGAGGAACAGAGGCTGCCGTGACTGTGATCTCCCAGATGGGAAGGCAAAGTGCCCCTCAGGGCTGCCAGGCAGAACAGCTGCTCGGGGGCACAGAGGAAAGACATGGGCTGTGTCCCTGCCCCAAGCGTGTGAGCCATTGGCATCTGCTTGGCAGGGGAGAGAGGAGACTGCTGATGGGAGAGAGCAAATGGGACGTGTGGCACATGAGAGGTTAACCCCTTCCACCAACTCTCAGCTGAGCCAACCCAAGCCCAAGTATATGGGCTCCAGAGCCAGGCTCCAGCCAGTGCCTACCAAGGGACCATGGGGCAGGTAGCCAGGCAGCTGCTGTAGTGATCCCTGGTCCCCTGCACAGTGCTGGCCCCATCTACCAGCTGAGGACATGCTGGATGGGTCACTTTCTGTGCAATTAGCCCTTAGTTAGTCTGCCATCTCCATTTCCTACTGGCCTAGCCTGCGGTGGCTGCACGGGATGGAGGGATGGCAGCCGGACTGGGACAAGCCTCCCCTTCACAATCAGGCATGAGGGGGAAGGGCCTTTCAACTCCCCACTCTCCAGTCTCTGCCCACACTGCCCTGGTGCCTGCTCTCTCCTCAGGCTGCACTGCCGTGGCTGGTTCCTCACTGATGAATGAATTGCCCTTGCTCCCTGTGGCACCAGCACCAGCAAGCAGAGGTGGCCCAGGGGTGTGAGGTGCTACACCTGGCCCCAGGCATCCCTGGGTTGTGGTGGGAGCAGCCTCCCTCTGCTGCAGGGCCAAGGGGGGCAAGGGATTGGGGACCCAGATGCCAGAGGTACCTTTCTGTAGGGCCCCTGCAGGATTTGCAGACACTGGATATGAGACCCTGAATTCACTGTAGAGCCAGTTTAAGGGACATGGTTTATTACCCCCTTGGTGTCTGTCCACTATAATCGCTTGGAGGAACACGCTGGCACTTGCATGCTCTTCCTCACACTGTGCCTGCCCCTGCGAGGCTGTTTCTGTGCTCTCATCTCTTATTTTTTGCCTTACGCAAGACTAGGGTCTTGTACAGCCCCCCGGCTCAATGGGATGCCGCTCTAGCTGAGTCTACAAGGCACCAGTGTCCTGGAGCTGCTGGCCTGGGGTGCTAGGAGCTGCCCCCCAGCACGCAATTAGGAGTGGTTGTTGTGTTGATGTCCTGTTCAGTATTTCTTGGCACCCAGCCTGAAAGCGCACACAATAGGAGGAAGCAACTCATTAAACAGCCTAGGAATAATAATTCAAGGTGCTAAGTGGTCTGGTCACATGACTAACTGTTTGCACTTCTGGGGCTCTCAATGTGCTCATGGGACTTCAGCCTTGCACCTGAGCAGGGTAACTCCCATCCCCAGGGGAAACTGAGGCAGAGGGAAGGCAAGAGACTTGCCCAAGGCCACACTGAGGCAGTGGCAGAGCTGGAAATGGGGTGCTGACTCCCAGCCTCGTGCTTCCACCTGGACACTAAGAAGAAAGGGAGCAAAATGAAGAGGCTCCTGTAGCTGCCTTCACTGCAGGTACAGGGGCTGGGTCCCCTCTGGGGTGCCTCTGCTTCCCTGTTGTGGCAGCCACCTGCTCTGAAGTGTTGTATTGGCAGGATGGCAGGGCACGCAACAACCCTTGCCATGGAGCTGTCGAGAGGGCTCCTGAGTGGAGATGACTGAGGGAATGGAGGGGGAGGCATGGGCAGAGAGCCCCAGTGTCTGTTGGCATGAGGGGCTGGGCACCCAGCAGCTTTGTCAGTTCACTGGTGATTTTAGAGATTGAACAATTCATTTGGACTGGGCAATGGAAGTGGGCTGTTCTGGAAACATCAGTGTGTAGCATGGTGGGTTTTTCTGAATGTAATACACCATATTTTCCCACCTACAACACGCCTCAGATAAAATATGACATTGTTTTAAGGGCAGAATGAAGAAAAATCTTTCCCTGCAGTAAGTAACTGAGTAAGAGCAGCTAGGGATCGGAGCCTGCTCATTGTTCTGCTACCGGTGAGTCTTGTGCAGTAAGGCAGAAACTGCTCTTACATATTTCTCACATATAATGCACACTGAAATTTCCAGCAGCTGGTTTTGGGGAAAAAAGGTGCGTGTAGTATGCAAGAAAATACTGGGTACATTTTTTGTAATGCGCAATTCAGCAAACATGCTGTACTGCAGCGAGCAATGCAGCTGCCGCCGAATCTGTGTCTGTTGCTGGAAAAAGTTTTCAGCTGCAAAATTCCTCCCTGCGCTCTGTGAAGCAAAGCTGCCAGGGCCCCGCACCCAACAGGGAGCAGAGCTGACCCTGTACAACAGGTAGTTTCTCCCTGTCTTGCTGCTTGGCAGACTGGATGAACTGCCTGCTGTAGCCATTGTGTTGTGTTCAGTGTTGTTGAGATGTGTTCTCTCTCCCATGGGTCGACAGAGAAGTTGGAGCCCCTGATGGCTCCTCACTGGCCTGTATGACCTGAGTCTGGGGTTTTCCAGACAGGCCTCCGTGGCTGACAAGAACTGGGCTGGGAGTTGCTGCCCATCTCTGCAGAGATACCAGGGGCTGATAGAGCCTGAAGGCCGAACTCCCCTGCATGCCCTAGAGAGGGTCCTTCCAGGTCACAGTAGCCTGGCCGTGTGTGGGAAAGTGTCTCCTGCTGCCCCACGTGGCAGCCCACTGGGATCTTGCCTGGGACCTTTTCCCAGCACTGGACTCAGTGCTGGAGAATGGGGAGGAAAGGTTAGACACAGCACTACCCTTGGCATTGCCCCAGCCCTCTGTGCCTGCTGCACACAGGGCCTCACAGCCCCAGGGCAGGGAGTCTGCAGGTCTTCCAAGCTTCAGGGGGGTCATGGCACTCTGGGGGCCAAATCCTGATCCAAGTGATTTCCATGGGGCCAGAATCAGGCCCTGGAGCATGGAGTAGCGAGTCTGGCCCTGCTCTGCCCACTCTTGCTCCCGCCGCCTTATTGGAGCCACGTCAGGGCTAAGCGTGCACTTCTCCCACCAGCGCCTCTGCTCTCGCCCTCCCCAAGCTCTTTGTCTGTGCTGCCGACTCCCCCCTTCAGCCACCTCCCCCCCTCGCCCCTAAATCATTGGTATTCAGATCACATCCCCAGGAGTCGGGTGTCTCTGCCTGCTCCGAGGCTATGAGAAATCCTCCTCCCGGCATGCAGCGCGGATGGCAGCATTATATATAGCGGTAAAAATAGCCAGGCAGGACATGCAGGGCAGCTGGCTGGAGCGAACCGGCCCTTTCTCCTCCCAGTCTCCTCGGACTCCTCCATCCCAGCGCTGAGGTCAGTAGTGCGGCCCCTGGGCGGGAGCTTGAGCGGGAGGGGAAGGGAGCTGTGCTGTGCAGGGGGTCCCCAGAGGGCAGGGCTGCTGTAAACCCTGCCTTGCTGCAGACTGGAGACCTGCTTTGTTCCCCACTGCTCCTCTGGCCCCAGGGTCGAGGCGGCAGGCTGCTGGGCTCTGGTGGGCTGAGGGTTGTTTTGCTGGCGATGCAGCAGCCAGCTGCCGCTGTACCAGGCTCAGCGCGGCGACGGCAGGCTCTCCCCACAGCCATGTGTCATCAGTCCCAGGCATGCCAGTGTTTATCCCCTGCATCAAGTGTTTTTTTCTGGGCTCCCCACAGGTGCAGGCGTGCGTGCCTGCATCTGCTGTGACTGTACAGGGACCGTGAGTCAGGACTCCCAGCCTCTGAGCCTGGTTCTTGCATGGACACACCATGACCTTGGGCAGGTCACTTAACACCTGTGGCTCCATGTCCCCCACTGGACAACAGCAGCTCCTCTCACCCATACTCAGGGGAGGTGGGAAGTTTGCTATGTGCCTTGATTTCTGGATGGGCCATAGAGGAAGCCTGTTCTTGCTAGGCCCTGGCTGTGACTTTGGTGCATGTTGTGTGGATGGTGCAGGCTTCTAGGGCAGTCTGCAAACCCGGCCGAGTTGGTGCCTGGCTTCAGCAGGGAGCTGCGCATGGTGTCAGACTGGTCTACCATGTGTTTTTGTTGCTTGTTGCGGGCTGCAGTTGCCTGCTTCGGTGTTTGCTCACCTTTCTCGCTGTCTCTGGACGTGCCTCCAGCTTCAGCTCAGAAGGGTCCTAGAGCTCCCTGGTGTGTTGACTGAGCCACTGGAGGGCCAGAGACTGGGGTTGGAGG